TGGCTGGGGAGAGGGAGGTCTGGGCCTCCCTTCTGAAGCTGCTGCCCCCGCGACCCGACCCCGGATAGGCGGAAGAAAATGGATGGATGGATGGAAGGTCTGGACCACTCGTGAATTTTGTTCGTATCTGAAAAAAATCTTAGAATACGAAAACATTGGTGAATGCCACAAATTTTCCTAAAACACTCTCCTAAATCATCGCACAATTTAAGAACAAATCTGTGCGTACGAACGGTTCTTGCATGAGGCCCATTATTTGTGACATGATGTCATGACGTAATTTTTTTTATTTAAAGTTGTTTTTTTACACACTAAACACAAAATATATTCGTTTGTGTCATGATTTCTTATTCTTGACTTGCATGAACTCTTTCAGAGTTTTGGCTTTGTTACTTTGCATCGCTAGTCACAACCATATTAACTCATGAAAAATGGATCACAGAACAAACACTGTCATGTCTCAAACTGATGATTGCACCAAACCCTGATCACTAACAGATAATTAAATAATGTGTTTCCTTCCTTCTCAGACAGCCAGATTTTATGCAGCTAGAACAAGTCTCAGACCAGTTTTTGCCCATATAGTAAAACAACTTCCTACAAATTACTTAAAAATTTTGAAGTTACCAATCAAGCTTTTTTTCTTAAAAGCTTTTCTGTCAGAATGAGAGTGAAAATGGGCTCACTGCAATCTAACTAGATTATCGCCACACAGATAACACCAGAGTTTACTTAGACACAACAGAGTATTAGTAAATAAGTTAAATTAAGTAACGGTGATGTCAAAAAGAATGAAAAGTCACCACATGGTGTTCATACTAAACGTCATGTGCTGAGCAGCTTGTTTGTTTAGTAACTGCACACACATATTGTGCAAGAGTCCACTGAACAGGAAAAATCAGCATACATAAAAGATTTCTATCTTTGAGTGATCCTTAATGCTGCAAGAAATCAAGTTTAAATGATTTAATATTGTGATGGTAATGCATAAACCAGGTACCACACATCATTTTTAGGACACAGGTTTTAAATTGATGTTTCAGTTTTATGGTGTGCAGCATGTTGCCTTTTTGAATATTGGTTGATTCAAATTGCTACACAACAACATGTTTTGTTTCCTTCTGAAAATGAGACAGGTTTTAAAATGGGGTGAAAGCAGAGATTGTTGTTTCACCGCTCGTATTAGTATGGTATTGTCCAGGATGTTGGGCAAAAAACATTTTTACATAATGTAAGTAACAGAATCTGAACACGCTGTAGATTTTTAACTCCTAGCATTGAAGCCATTATGAAAAATCCATTGTTTTTTTCTCATTGTATATTTGCACCATTTTTTAAATATGCAAATGAATAATTAACATAGGATTGACTGGTATATWTACAAAAGGAGAGAAGGTTTTTGTTAACCAGCCTTTTATTCATGCTAAATAAGGAAAGAAATACCATAGTGGCCTCAGAATCTTTAACCTGTATCCTTTATGTTGTGTTTGAGAGGCATGATGACATGGGGAAGAAAGAAGGATGACGTGTTTACAGAAGGCAGCAAAGAAGGGGAGATGTGCTTTTATTCGTCGTTCTCTCTGGATGTCACTCTTCATCTTTTCATCTCCTTTCTGAATAGAGGATCAAAAGAAAATAAGGTAGTAAGAGTTTGTAGCTGAAAATATCAAGTGGCACTAAATAAAAACCCTTGCTACCTTGTTACCCTAGTCATGTTAGAATAATTTCCCTTGAATGGGCACCAGCACAAACTTGACTTATATTAATTTTTTTGTATTGGGCTATTTAATGCTAAATAAACATTTTGCAATCAAAGTGTTCACTGCAGAAAGTTTAAAATTGTCACAATACATGTGATTGTCTGACTATGAGTAACACATTACAATATAAATTCTGTCAGATTTGTTTTATGTGTTGGTCCCACCTTCCTCCAGACCACATCAGAACACCAACCTTTGAGGACTAGTTAGGGWTGTGGATAAGGAGGTGCCCCTTGGTTTTCCTCTCAGCCTAGTTTTATGGCTCCTCTGGTTTGGGGTAACCAAACCCAGATGGGCTGTGGTTCCAAGCTGCAGGATGTGGCATGACCATGGGAGCAGTAGAACGGGTTTGAAAGCCCCAAGAGGGTCGCTGACTTGTCAAAGTGCAGTAAAACTGCTCAACAAGGCACTCCACTAGCACCACCTTGTGCACAGAGCAGCTAGGTCTTTAAACATCTGTTCAAAGAAGCAAGACATGTGGTAAAAATGTATAGAAATCATACAGCTTTCCCTCACTGACTGGAATGACAAAGGCAAAAAAGTAAAAACATTGGGCCTCATGCAAGAACCGTTCATACGTACAGATTTGTTCTTAAGTAGTGCATACGAGTGATTTAGGAGAATTTGTGGCATTCACCAATGTTTTTGTATTCTAAGATTTTCTTCACATACAAACACAATTCACGAGTGGTCCACACCTTTCGTATATTTTACGAGCAGTCGGTCTGCTGTTATCTAGACAGATTTTTCTCATTAATAACTATATTTCATTAGTTTGAAGATATTTTGAGTTGAAAATAAATCACACTACAAACTTATGTTGACAGTAGGTTATTCTGTTTGAACTGGAATTAGATTTTAATGACATAAATTTGTTAGATTAAATTAAATTGGCTATTATGCTGTTGTATACACTACAGTATTAATATGAAGATCTCAAACTAAAAACCAACTTAAATTATGCATTAATTGAAGTTTGGAGACATTTTAAAATGCGTCTTTTCAGAACCGCATCTGACACTTGCGACGGTCGGGAGGGGGGTAGTGGTGCGCGACTGCTCTTCCTCTGAATAAATGAAGCCTATGTAACACAGGTGTTTACACTTAAAAAATATTTGACCAAAGAAAAACCGGAGCAGGGCTAGAGAGAGATGAATATGACTTATATTTTTATTTCTGTGACTGTATAGGCCCTACGACCCACAGGAGACACGACATTAACAGCAGTAGTTATTTCATTCCATTCTTTGACTTTAGCAGCTCCTTTAATTCCATGAGTGACGCTGCTAAAAAGGACAGATTTTCTTCTTTCTCGGAGAGCAGGACTTCAATCTCCGAACTCGTAAAAATCTTCTTTTTACTTTTCGCTGTCATTTTCTTGAATGGACACTGCCTGGTGGTATCTGAGGCAGGAAACATAGCCTTATATGGTGTTTTTGGGGCGGTAATTATGCTAATCTCCTCTCCACGTGCACGAGCAGCTGGATACGAACAGGTGGAATTCATCATGTTTACGCAGCTCATTTACACACTTTTCCTGAAGATAGAAGAGTTTGTTGAATCTGACGTGGCATGTTCGTACGAACCCTTCATAAGAACAAAAGTAAGAGAAATTTAGGATAAGAATACRAACATGTTCTTGCATGAGGCCCATTGAATGGCTGTGGTGGGTTGGTGGATTATAATTTGCATAACCAGGAACATTTTGTGAAATTTGTTTCGAAGTTTCTCTATAAAAACTGGGTCATGTAATCTTTAGGAAATGTAGGAATGAGATTTTTTCCTCACACCATCGGTTTAATCACTAGTCTGAGTTAGACTTTCCAAAAGCTGCCTAACACAGTTATGTCAGGCCCATGTTGCCATGGCAGCATGCTTTGTCTCTTTGTTCGGCAACAGTCGACCATGGTATGTGTAACATGGGGCAGACTGTGAAGAGCTCGAGCAGGCTCTGTCCTGACTGCAGCGATACAGGACAAAACACTGAAAGGAAAGCACAAATGTGTGGGCTAAGGTTTTCTCTAGACTCAATCATTCAGTGAGCAAGACTTTCTACTGTCGCTGCAGACACAAACAACAGGCCCAGCATCAAAACAAAACGTGCCGAGCAGGGTTCGACGGACACAATGTAGTCAAAACTGTTTTAAATGTGTGTGTTTGTGTTGGGCAGAGGGTCCTTGACGGCAACAGGTGTGGCGAGCCGAGGTGTCTTGTTTGCAGAGCTCAGTTAACTGTTTAAAGTCATAAATAAKGTCAGCAGGAATTAAAGGTGAATAAAAAAATGACAAATCACACAACTGTTTGATGTTAGTCATTTAAGTAAATTTCAAACACACACATAGTTTATTATCACCTCCTGGTGAGAACAGAAACATGGGTGAGAAGTATTCCAAATTGCCACTTTGCAGACATAAATGTGTGTTTAAAAAGATCAACATAAACACTGTAATAACGGCCTCGCTACGCCGTCTTAAATACCTAACACAACACTTAGCTCCCATTGACCAAGCACTGACCTAGTTTAACCTGCTCTCACTGACACAGGATCCCCTGCATGTAATGTACGTTTGATTTCTTACTATGTTTTAGTCTCAGATGTGGTCTTATTAATCCTGATTATTCTTAATTACAGTGCTTGTACACTGTTTTCTTCCTTTATTTAAATGCTTTTGTGTAAAAAAAAAAAAAGAAAAGAAAAGGAAGTGTCCTTGTTCTGGTCAGTAAATGTATTTTATCTCCTACTGAACAAACAGAGTATACCTTGCAAATAAAACCAGGCTTCCTATTGAGTTGCTCTACACAAAAGGCCCATTCAGG